TCTTTCTTGGTAACTCTTTTTCTCTCCAGTGCTTTTGAAGCATTAAAAAATAAAAATCTACCTTTTTTAGTTGTTTTCACCTTATTTAGTTAGTTCTACTTACCATTACTGGACTCTGAAATCCCTAAATAGCCTTATCATTTTAGAACCTGTACCTCCTGTACTGTTTGAGGATTTACCATACCTTCATGTCTGAATGTTTTTGTTTTTTTTCTAAATAATTAATTGTCTTTGAAATATGGTGTCACTATTGATACTGTGATACTCCTTAACATATTTTTGTTCATATTATATGCTCTGATTTTTATGAGTTTGTTTAGGGGAAGAACAAAGCAAAAGCAAGTGTGTTTTATCTTGTGTATAATTTTCATAATTTCTTGTAAAATATGTGAATTTATTTATCAGGTTCTCAACTGTTTTAAATTGTGCGATTATATTTAAAAATTGGAGCAATTAGATGTCCTCTTTTCAGTTTCTGAGTAGAAAAATTGTATCTCATGCTAAGATTGTGTGTGTGTTCACGTAAATATGTATGTATTTAAATATTTAAGTCAATAAGAACAAAATGACATGCTGTATTTTAACACTTAGAAATGTGAAATTATTTTATATTTTGTTTTTTAAAAAGTGGAATTTATAATGTAATGTGGTCATTCACATAAATGTTAATCATTAGTTAGGTGACATGTAATGACAATATTTACCTTTTCAAAGTCCCCGCTAAATATTTCAGCCTAAATCTGTCTCTGAAAAGGTCTGGTTGTTTGCTTAGTTTGCTTAGTGGGAATAGAGAATAATTATCTCTTTACTTAGACACAGAAATACTTTGAAGTTATGTTTTAAATTAAGCTATGCAGAAGACTTCTGAAGCTTTTAATGTTTGTATCTAATCTTTATACAGAAGGATTCTGAATTTTAAAAACATTACTTAGCTTGTCTATCAGAAATATTAATGTAATTTATAGTACAATATTAATTTGTTTAAAGCATTATTTATATCTACACATTTCCCTTCATAATCTCTTTATCTCTTATAATCTGAGTTTGAATTTGATCATGTAATTTAACTTCTCAAATTACTTATTATGTGAATTAGATTAGTACATGTTCATATCTAGAATAGATATACTGTTATATATTATAATAAAAAAATTTACATATAACCAAAGTATTATGATGGGAAGACCCTAAAATGACTACCAATGATCTCTGACTTCTGGTATTCACACTATTTTATAATTCCCTTTGAGTGTTGGTAGGACCTGTGACTTGCCTTTAAACGAGAAAATATGGCAAAGGTGGTGGGATATCAGTTCTATGATTATGTTACAGTATATGATAAAGGTGATAGTATGTCACTTCCATGAATATGCTTTAAGTCTGTGTCTTGCCAAAAGACTTGCTCTAAAGAAATTCTCCCTGTTGAAAGAAGTAGGTGGAGCTGATGGCATCTTCTAGGAGCTGAGGGCAGCCTCTAGCCATTCATAAGAAACAAAGGCCTTCAGTTCTTTAGCTGCAAGAAAATAAATTCTGCCACCAACCTGAGGGAGTTTAGAAGTAGGGACATCCCCACTCAAGCCTCTGCTGAAAGCCCATCCCCAGCTGACACCTTGATTGCAGCTCTGCAGAGGACCCTTGCTCCAGCCAATACCTTGAATGCATCTCCCTGAGGCTTTGAATCAGAGAACCCAAGTATTCCAGACTCCTGACCCACTATGCTGAGACTCTGACACAAAAATTGTGAGATAATAAATATGTGTTGATTAAAATCACTAAGTTTGTGGTAACTTCTTACTTGGCATTAGATAACTAGTACAGATATATCTAATTATTATTTTGTTCACTAAATTATATATTTCTGTACAAAATATCTACTGCATACTTTAAGTTCTTTCAAACTATGAAGGTAATCTCTAGTCTAGAAAGAAATTTTACTTTTTGTATTACAAAACACAGTGGTCTGTTACAGAATAAAACACAGTTTAAAACATTTTTTTATTAATCTGATTTTTTTATATTCATGTATGCACAATTGCCTTAAGAAATAATTTAGAATTTTCTTTATTTGTAATAATGCTCTCTTCTTTTGTTGAAAATAGTTGTTTGTGAGGTCCTCCTTTCCAGTACTTTAACTTGCATTTATTTATGACGTCTATAATGAAATCGAAGATTATGATACTCTTGATTCCAGATCACATTATTATATAAGTTACATGAAAATCTATAATGACTATGCCAAACATTTCAGTACATGAGTTCATTTTATTTATAATACGAGGTTGGATAATTAAGTTCGCAAACTCATCCTAGAAAAAGTATTACATACCTCATTGGTGAATATCACTAGAGTCACCTTCAAAGTACTCTCCTTGGGAAGCTATGCACCGATGCCAGCGCCTAGTCCACCCTTCTAAGCAATTTTGCAACTCTTTTTCTGGAATGGCCATCAGAGCTGTCGTCATATTACCCTTCATGTCCTGAATGTCATCAAAATGTCTCCCTTTCAATATTTCCTTTATCTTTGGGTAAAGAAAGAAGTCACTGGGGGCCAGGTCAGGTGAGTAGGGAGGGTGTTCCAATACAATTATTCATTTACTGACTAAAAACTCCCTCACAGACAGTACCGTGTGAGTTGGTGCATTGTTGTGATGCAAGAGCCGTGAATTCTTGGCGAAAATTCAGGTCATCTAACTTTTTCACGCAGCCTTTTCAGCACTTCCAAATAGTAAATTTAGTTAACTGTCCAGTTGGTACAAATTCATAATGAATAATCCCTCTGATAGCAAAAGAGGTGAGCAATATCTTTGCAACAAGTTTGAGGGCGTAATTGTCATACCTCATAGATTAGCATAAATATTTTTATCAATTGGTTTTGGCATGTAGGAAATGAGATGGGAAGGTCATTTGTTTGCATAGCACAGTATTGGGTATAAGTGATACATTTATACATACATTTATTTGAGATTCCATTTATTTCATCCCTCGCAATGAAGATATTTTCCTGTGGGTGGTGACTCTGCTATTACAATGCATTCACTAGTAAATAAGGTCTTGGATTTTGATCAGAGATGACAATTATACCCGAATTCTTTATTTTTTGCCTTTTTTTAAGTGAATTAGACTGGAGACAAATTTATCTGATAGGACATGACATATTTACTAGAAGAAAAAATTAATTATTCTTGCCTGATCTCAGTCATTGCTCTGATGATTACCATCTCCCGTACTCCTCTGCATTTAGCAGTGCGTCCTTAGCATTCTCCTAGAAGCGAGATCTCCCCCTTCTCCACCATTAGTTTATTTTTGCTATGAAATCATGACTTCTTACTTTCCCTAATGGTTTATAATTCACTGCTGGACTCCACATTTGACAATCTAAATATCCCATATTTGGCCAGTGGGAGCTAGTTCATGCTGGCTCTTGTGTTTTTGTGACATGCACCCATTGTTTTGTGAATGCTTATACTAACCTTTTTTGCTATCAGAGGGATTATTCATTATGAATTTGTACCAACTGGACAAACAGTTAACCAAGTTTACTATTTGGAAGTGCTGAAAAGGCTGCGTGAAAAAGTTAGACCTGAACTTTTTGCTAACAATTTATGGCTCTTGCATCACGACAATGCACCAGCTCACCCAGTGAGGGAATTTTTAGCCAGTAAACAAATAACTGTACTGGAACACCCTTCCTACTCACCTTATCTGGCCCCCAGTGACTTTTTTTTTTACCCAAAGATAAAGGCTATATTAAAAGGAAGACATTTTGATGACATTCAGGACATCAAGTTAATATGACAGCTCTGATGGCCATTGCAGAAAAATAGTTTCCAAATTGCTTTGAAGGGTGGATTAGGCACTGGCATCGGTGCATAGCTTCCCAAGGAGAGTACTTTGAAGGTGACTCTAGTGATATTCAGCAATGAGGTATGTAGCACTTTTTTTAGGATGAGTTTGCAAACTTCATTTTCTGACCTCATACATATATACTTGGTACAAAGTGATGGGATTTAAGGAGCTGACACTATAGGAAGGTACAATAGTATAGGAATAATACAGATTGTGAAGTGCTTAATCCAGCAATAATGAGTATGATGATTTTCTAAAGCTAGAAAACCACTATATAGCACATATTTTAAAAGTAGCCTTTGGGGAAGTCACAGAAAAAAACCTAACTCCCAAAGTTTCTTAGTTTCACAGAGAATAAAGTTAGTGGTATAAAGAGTTATCATATTTCTACTTTAATTTTGTAGTTACTATAGAAAAGTATTTACTCTTCAACTCATTTTTTACATGAATACAAAAACTAGCATGGTTGAAAATGCATTCACTATGTAACCTGATTAGGTTATTATTCTCAACTGGTTGGTCCTTCATTAATTGAAATATGTATGCATTAAAATTATTTCTCTGTTCTAACTACTAAAAATGAAGACGTTTTCAGAAGGTCTATCTCATCTATTAAACTTTTACATATAATGTAAATATTAAGTCACTTTATTTAGTTACCCTGTTGTATACATTTTATAATTTATTTTGGAGGATTTTCTAGGAAATAGCACTATGCAAAACCAAGCTATATCTCTGTTAGGCAATATCAAAGAATACCAGAAGTAAAAAAATGATGTGGATTTAGTAATTTTCACAATTTTCTTTCTCTACTTACAAATGACTCTATATTTTAATCCAGACTTTTATTTCCTTCTCATACTATTAAGGAAGACTATATATCCCAAAATTCATAATCTTATCCCATCTGCCTTGCAACATCCCCTATTATTCCTGTCATGCATGTTTATTTGTCTTCTCCACTTACTTGTTCTCTCACTCATGCTTGTATATAGGCTTTCTACATTAATTCTTTTGAAGATTTGTTTTTAAAACTTCAATTAATGCTATAGTTTTTAAAGGTGTTTTAATATAGTTTAATTTTTTGCTTAAGAAAAAAATGAGACTTTTGAATTTTGTTGTTTAATAGTAAATGAGTTTTTGTATTTCTACAGATGTGACTCTGAAAATCGCTATGTTGGTAATCCACTTAGAGGAACATGTTATTGTAAGTATTTGCATTTTAAAAATTTTAATTAATTGGTTTGGATTATTAGTTTTAGGTGGTTTTGTAGATTATAAAATTCATTATGAATAACTGATGCTGTCATTATTATGTTACCATTTCTATGTCTTAAATCTTATTATGCAACTCCATATAAAGGCAATCAATGTCTTTTTGCTATATTTTCTTAATTGTATTTGGTGCATTTTTTTCTACTCTGAAGCTTAATGTAGCAATAGATCTTGTTCTGTACATGGAACAAAATACAGAACTTGAGTACACTTAGCTGAACTTTAATGCAATGTTTTTCATTATGATTAAATTTTGAACATAGAAATTTTTGTGATAGATTTTTGCAGGGGACAATTTTGGTCATTATTAAAAAGTTGCACTGATTTTGTATTGAAAGATACTTTCATTGGGTAATGATTATATGATGGTAGAAGTGTATTCAACTTTGTAAGAAACAACCAAACTATTTCCCAAATGGTTGTACCATTTTACATTTCTACCAGCAGTGTATGAAAGGTTTGCTTCTTCCAAATCTCTCAGTACTTTGTATGATTAGTCTTTTTAATTTTAGGCATTCTCATAGGCATCTAATGGTTTCTAATTCTCACTTTATTTTCATATCCCTGTTGACTAATAATGTAAGCATTTTTTCATGTGTTTATTTGCCATATGTATACTTTATTTGATGAAATATGTTTAAATCCATTGCCCACTTTTTTAAATTGGATTATTTGTTTTCATATTATTGAGTTTTCAAAGTATTGGGTTTTCGGAAAAGTCATGATGCATTTTTGCAACAGATGGTGCTAGTTCATTTTTGGAAGTACTGGAGTCATTCGCATCTATGTTATCGCTATGTCATTTGACAACTGACAGTTCTAGCTTCATTCTAAAAAAAACTGAGCGATTTTGTTGAGTTTTGGAGATTTTACAAGTTGAAGATGGAAAATCAAACTGTGCATTTTCGCCATATTTCACTGTTTTACTTCCGTAAAGGGGAGAACGTGCGTCAAGCTTGTGAAAAGTTGCATAAAGTTACGGTGACAATGCTCTACAAGAACGTCAGTGCCAACGATGATTCACGAAATTCTGTGCTGGTGATTTTGATCTCAATGACGCTCCTTGGTCAGGGAGGCCCACTGAGGTTGATGACAAAATAAAGGCATTGATCGAGTCAAACCCACATTACACGACATAAGAGATTGCAGAAACATTGAACATCCATCATTCAAACGTTCACGACCAGCTGAAGAAGCTGGGATACGTAAGCAAGGTCGATATTTGGGTTCCGCATGAACTCAAAGAAGTTCATTTGACAGCGCGTATAAACATCTGCAATATGCTCATTAAATGTGAGGAAAACGATCCTTTTTTGAAGCGACTGATAACTGGTGATGAGAAGTGGATTGTTTATAACAATATGTGCTAAAATGGTCTTGGTCCCGATGTGATGATTCGCCTCAAACGACATTGAAAGCAGACATTCATCAGAAGAAGGTTATGCTCGCAGTATGGTAGGATTTTAAAGGTGTCATGTTTTTCAAGCTCCTACCAAGACACCAAACAATCAATTCAAATGTGTACTGTCAGCACTTGGACAGTTTGAAGAAATCCATCATCCAGAAACATCCAGAGCTTGTTAATTGTAAAGAAGTTGTGTTCCATCGCAACAACGCGAGACCACACACAAGTTTGATCACCCATCAAAAATTATCGGAGCTTGGATGGGATGTGTTGCCGCACCCACCATACTCGCCTGACCTTGCACTGTCAGACTTCCACTTGTTTCACCCTCTTCAAAACTTGTGTGGTTTAACGTTCAATTCAGATAAGGCTGTAAATCAGCACCTTGTTCAGTTTTTCGCAAATAAAGACAGGTCCTTCAATGAACGAGGAATTATGAAGCTCACTGAAAGGTGGCAAAAGGTTATCGAACAAAACGGGCAATATATCACTGATTGCTCTTTGTTCTTTATATAAATAAATGACCTTTGAAAAACAGACAAAATACTTCATGACTTTTTCCGACAACCCTACACTTTATATATTACAGGTACAAGTTCTTTACCTGATATGTGATTTGCAAATATTTTTTCCTACTTTGTGGCTTGTGTTTTCACTCTATTAAGAGTATTGTTTTGAATGGCAGTTTTTATTTATTTTTATTTTTTCTTGTTTCTTTTTTTTTGGTTTCCTTTTTTTGTGAATGGCAGTTTTTAATTTAGATGGAGTTCAATTTATCAATTTGTTCCTTTGAGAAATCTTAGCCTAATCTAAGGTCAAAAGATTTCCCACTATATTTTCTTCTAGAAATTTTATATTTTTAGGTTTTTCCATTTAAGCATATAGTCCATTTTGAGTCAACATTTATATATATTTTAAGGAATAAATAAAATTTTTTTTCTCCATATGGATATCCAAATGTTATAGCACAATTTGTTTATGGACTGTCTGTTAACTAGTGAATTGCTTTTGCACCTTTGTTGATAATCAGTTGTCCACATATGTGTACAAGACTATATAAGACTATTTCTGAACTTTCTATTTTGTTCCATTAATTTGTCTATTTTTTGCCAGTTATAATTATTCTAGCTTTACAATAAGTCTTGAAACCATGTAATATTTATTCTCCAGTTTTGTTCTCTCTTTTCAAACGTATTTTATGTTTTCTTTGTGTTTACACATGAATTTAAGAATCTGTTTATCAATTTTCACAAAAACACATGCTAGGATTTGAAATGAGATTGTGTTTAGTTTATAGATCAGTTTGGGGAGAACTGATATCTTAACTACAGTGAGTCTTCTAACCCATTAACAGTATATATCTTTTTTTTTAAAATTATTCTTTAATTTATTTGGTAGTTTTCATGGTGCAGGTCTTTCACAGCTTTTTGTCAGATTTATACCTACATGTCTTATATTCTTGATGCTCTTATAAATATTATTTTTTAATATTTCATTTCTGATTACCTCTGTTATATACAACCACAAATGATATTAATATTGTCTTTATATCCTTCAGGTTTGCTAAACTCACTTATTTCAAGTACCATTTTTGTAGCTTCTATTATGTTTTCTACATAGACAATAATGTGGTCTGCAAATCATGGAGTTTGGTTTTTTCCTTTCTGGATGCTTTCTTTTTCCTGCCTGATTGCATTGGCTACTATATCTGGTACCATGTGACAAGCTATGGTGAGCCTGTACATATTCTGTCTTGTTTCTGATCTTAGAGGGAAAGCAGTCAGCTTTCACCATTAAGCGTGATGGAGGTTTTTCTTAGATGCCTTCATCAGGTTGAGGAAATTCCCTTCTATTCTTACTTCGCATAGTATTTTTTATCAGGAATTGATGTTTGTTTATGTCATGTGTTTTTTTTTCAGATTCAGATTCAATCATTAGGTGTTTTGATTTTGCTTGCTTAATAAGCAAATGGTATATTACGTATACCACTTTTTTTGTCCATCACCTGGTAAAGGACATAGGGATTATTTCTAGGCTTTGGCTATTATGAAAAATGCTGATATAAACATTCAGATGGTCTTTGTGTGGACGTGTATTTTCAGTTTTTTAAGGTAGATTTCTAGGAGTAGAATTGCCAGATCATAACGATAATCTTATATTTAACATTTAAAGAGAGTGCGAAATGATTTTATAGCATGGCTGTACCATTTTCCATTTCCACTAGCAATTTACAAATATTTTGGTTTATATATCCTTACCAACACTTCATATTGTCTTTCTGATTATAGCTGTTATAGAATAGGTGTAATAGTATCTTGTGGTTTTAATTTACATTTCTTTATGACTAATAATATTGAGCTCAATTTCATGTGTCCATGTCTCAAACATGTTTTGTTAGATACGTAAAATAGTAATTTCCTAATACAGTAAAACCTTGGATTGTGAGTAATGTGGTTTGCGAGTGTTCCACAAGATAAGCAAACAATTCTAATACATTTTAACGTTGGTCAACGAGTGATGTCTTACAATACAAGTAGTTTGTTTCCGGAACACATTATGCTCACAAATCAAGGTATTACTGTACTTTCATTGCTATTTTAAATAGTATCTTTCTAAATTACATTTTCTATTTATGTTTGATATTTAAAAATAAAATTCATTTTAGTAAATTGATCTGATATTCATCAACTTCTATTAACTATTAATTATAAATTTATAGATTTGTTTTATTTTTAAATGTAGCGAATTATATTGCATACAAATAAGGACACTTTTTTCCTCACTTTCCAATATTTTTGTTCTCTTATTGGGATGGTTGGGATCTTTATTTTAGTACTGTGTCAAAATGATGGTAGTAGATATCACCGTCAAGTCGAGAGTTTGCTATAGTTTATAGAATATTCCCTGTATCAGGTTAATCAAATTCTTATCTATATTATTGTGCTGCAGGATTTCATCATGAATGGCTTCTTCTTTATCTTGTTAAATGTGAAGTTGCATTGATAGATTTTCTAATGTTAAACATCTTTTCATTTGGGGGTAAACAAAACATAGTCATGGCATATTATTTGAAACACCATAAAATATTATTTTTTTATATTTTATTTGGGATTATTTTCAATATAAATGAATACAGACTATATTTTTACATTATTTTATTTTAATGAAATGACCTTTTACTAATTTTTTACCCTTTTTTATCTTCATATTTTGTAAGTATGGTAATAGCTTTTGAAAATGAATTTGAGGTTACTACCTTCTTTTGAAACAGGAATAGTTAAAAATATTATTAAGTAAATTTCAAAATTAGCTAAATTCCATCAAAATCTCTCTTGTTTTTTTTTATTGGTTATTTTTTTGTTCATTTTGTTTGTTTGTTTGTTTGTTTATTCATTGCTGTATTACAGCATGAGATTTGGGGTTTATTCATTCTTTCCATTTACTTTGTTTTGTAGTACCTCAATTTTAGGTTTTGTCTGTAGTAATTTATTTTTAAAATGTTGTTTTTGCCTACAGTTGGTATAAGT